AACTCTGACTTTCAAATAAATAAATCTTTTGAAAAACATTTACTTATTTGAAAGGATTAGAGGGAGGCAGAGAGAGAGAGATATTGCTTCTGCTGGTTCATTCCCCAGATGGCTGCAATGGCCAGCACTGGGCCAGGCTAAAGCCAGGAGCTTCATCTGGGCCCCCGACATGGATGCAGGGACCCAAGCACTTGGGCCATCTTCTGACTGCTTTCCCAGGCCATAGCAGAGAGCTGGATTGGAAAAGGCATAGTAGAGACATGAACTGATGTCCACATGGGATGCTGGTGATGCAGGCAGCAGCTTCAGCTGCTACACACAACACTGGCCCCTGCTTTGGAGATTTTGGGGTGCACAGTGCAGCATCATTTATTGTTTTTCTGTGCCTGGCTTATTTCCTTGAGCATAACATCCTGCAGATTGATCCATGTTGTTGCCCATGATACGATTTCCCCCTTTGTAGAAGACTGGTCTTCCATTGTGTGCTGGGAGCACATTTTCTTTATCTGTTCATCGGATGACTGACACCTAGGTTGCGTCCACGTGTTAGCTGTGGGGAACAATGCTGTGATGGCTGTGGGAGTGCAGGTGTTGCAGAGTGAGGTGTCGGTCCCTAGCTGTACTCATTCCAGGTTCTTGTCTCAGTGTGAGAGGTGAATTCAAGGCTGACACACAGATAAGGTGTAAGAGTCACAGCAGAGTTTATTTAAAGAGATGAAAGAGGTAGTCCAGCCAGCACTGTGGTGCAGTGGGTTAAGCCACGGCTGGCATCCCCATGAGGGTGCTTGGTTCATGACCCAGCTGCTCTACTTCTGATCCAGCTCCCTGCCAATGTGCCTGGGACAAGCAGCAGAAAGATGGCCCAGGTGCTTGGGCCTCTGCACCCACATGGGAGACCCAGAAGCTCCTGGCTCCTGGCCTGGCCCTGGCTGTTAGAGCCATTTGGAGAGTGAACCAACAGCTAGAAGATACTCTCTCTCTCCCTCTCCCTCCCACCCCCTTCCTGTTTAACTCTGCCGTTCAGATAGACAGATATGTAGATCTTTCTTTAAAAAGAGGGAGAGATGCTACACACTCCAACAGGAGTGCAGGCAACCTCATGGGGCAGAATCACCCCCCCCCCCAGTTCAGTTGCCCCTGTATGGGACTAGGAACAGTGCCCTCATTGAATATGCAAATGAAGTAGAGTTTGGGCAGGGATCAGTGTGTGTGAGGATCTCTGGGAAGGCTTCATGGTGGCTCCCTGTGGAGCTCAGCACACATAGGTCCATCCTAGCATCTTGTGCATATCGTGGGAGTGAGGCCCAGGTGTCCTGTGGGAAGTGGGTGTGTCAAACCTGTTTGGAGGGGGTTGAGGTTTGAGTGGTGCAGGGCTGTGGCAAGAAGGCAGCTGACACCCTCCTAGCTCCTTTGTCCACTGTCTAGCTCCGTATCACAGGTACTTCCTGGACATACTGATTTCAGTTCCTTTGGATATACTCCAGTAATGAATTTGCTATATTATATAGTAATTGTTTTTAGTTTTCCGAGTAACCTCCATACTGTTTTCCATATGGCTGTATTAATTTATATCCCACAACAGTGCACAAGGGTCTCCTTTACTCTCTTGCCAACTCTTGTTTTTGCTCTTTCTTATAGTTTCGCATCTTTTTAACTGTTGTGAAACTGCATCTCATTATGGTTTTTATTTTATTTCCCTGATGCTTAGAGATAAGCATTTTTCAATATATCTGCTGGCCATGTGTATGTCTAGGTTTTTAAATTAATTTATTTGAGAATCAGGGAGACACAGAGAGAGAGGGAGAGAGATTCCGTCTGCTGATTCACTTCCCAAATGCCTACAACAACCAGGGCTAGACTGCGGCTGAAGCCAAAGCTGGGAACTGGGAACAACCCAGCTGTGCCAGGAACCCAATTACTTGAGCCATCAGCAGGAAACTGAAGTTAGGAGCCAGAACTGGGAATTGAACCCAGGTGTTCCCAAGAGGAACTTGGGCACCATGACCACTATGCAAAGCACCTGCTCCCTGTGCGTTTACTGTTGCAAAGTGTCCATTTAGGTCATTTGTCCATCTGTTTTTGATGGAGTTATTGTCCTGTTTTGTCCGAGTTCCTTGCATTTCGGAAGTTAAGCCCTGAGCACAGGGATGGGTTGCCAGCCATTTCCTCCCAAGGTGTGGTGGTCTCTCCACTCTGTTGTTCCCTTTGCTGCGCAGCTTTCTAGTTTGATGTCATTCCACTTGTTGATTTTGCATGTTGCCTGTGCCTCTGGGGTCACATCCAAGAAATCTTTGCCCAGACTGGTGCTGTGCAACATGCACTTCAGGCTGTCTTCTAGTGGTTTCAGGGTTTCAGCTCTGAGGTTTGAGTCTGTTTATCTTTTGGAGTCACTTTGTGCATATGGTGTAAACTAAGTGTCCAGTGTCCAGCTTCTGTTTGTAGAGGTCTAGTTTCCCCAGCACCATTCACGGCAGAGATGAGCCTTCCTCCACCGTGTACCCTTGATACTTGTGTGTAAATGTGTGGGTTTATATCTGGGCTCTCCCTCCTATTCCTTTGGTCTCTCTGTGTCTGTTTATGCCAGTGTCATGCTCTTTTGATAACTGTTGCTTTGGAAGCCAGGTGGTAGAAGTCCTCCAGCTTCGTCATCTTTGTTCAAGGTTGCTTTAGGTATTCAGGGTGTTCCGTGGTTCCTCAAAAACTTCAGCGTTTTTCTCCATTTCTGTGAAAAATGACATTGGGGTTTTCATAAAGATTGCATTGATTCTGTAGATGGTTTTGGGATGTATGAATATTTTAACGTTAGTTCTTTCCATTCATAAACAAAGGGTATGAATTTACTGTGTGCTCTTCAGTTGTTTTTTTTTTTTTTTTTTTTGGACAGGCAGAGTGGACAGTGAGAGAGAGAGACAAAGACAAAGGTCTTCCTTTGCCATTGGTTCACCCTCCAATGGCCGCTGCGGCCAGCGCAGTGCGGCCGGCGCACCACGCTGATCCAATGGCAGGAGCCAGGTACTTATCCTGGTCTCCCATGGGGTGCAGGAACCAAGGACTTGGGCCATCCTCCACTGCACTCCCTGGCCACAGCAGAGAGCTGGCCTGGAAGAGGGGCAACCAGGACAGAATCCAGTGCTCTGACCGGGACTAGAACCCAATGTGCCGGAGCTGCAAGGCAGAGGATTAGCCTATTGAGCCATGGCGCCGGCCTCATCGGTGTTTTATAGTTTTCAATGTATGTATCTTTCATCTTCTTGGTTAGATAGACACCTGAGCTCTTTTTTTTTTTTTTTTAATGCTATCCTGGGGACAGTGCTGAGGAGTAGTAGGTTAAGCCTCTGTGTGTAGTTCCAGCATCTCATATGAGCACCAGTTCGTGTCCTGCTGCTCCACTTCCAAGCCAGCTCTTTGCTACCACCTAGAAAAGCATTGGAAGATGGTCAAATTCTTGGGCCCGTGCACAGAGGTGGGAGACCAGGAAGAAGCTCCAGGCTCCTGGCTTCAAATCAGCCCAGTTTTAGCCATTGTGGCCATCTGGGGAGTGAACCAGTGGAAGACCTCTCTCTTTCTCTCTCTCTGTCTCTGTCTCTGTCTCTGTCTCTTTCTGTCTCTGTCTATAACTCTACCTCTTAGATAAAATCTAAAAAAAAAAAATGCTACCCTGAGTGGGATTGATTTCTTACTTTCTTTTTCTGATAGTTTGTGGTTAGTATAAAAGCACTGCTTACTTTAGCATGTTGATCCTGGTACCCTGTAACTTTAGTGAACCTATCATTTCTAACTTTCGTTATCGTTATGATTATGTATAAGGTTATGTCATCAACAGAGATAATTTATGTTATATTTTCCTACCTATCTGGAGGCCTTTTATTTTTTTGTCTAAATGCTCTGGCTAGAATTTTCAGTGTTGTGTTCAATAGAAAGAGTGTGCATGGGCAAGTTTGTCTCATTCCAGATCTTAGAGAAAAAGCTTTCAATTTTTTACTTAAATATGGTGTTAGCTGTGGGATTTTCTTAGGTTTCCATGTGTTGAGGCACAGTCCTTCTATGTTAATTTATTGGGAGGTTTTTTTAATCTGAAAGGATGTTGAATTTTTTCAAATGCTTTTTTAAAAAAGGCTTTTTATTTATTTGAAAGGCAGAGTTACAGAGGCAGAGAAAGAGGGGTCTTCTATCTGCTGGTTCACTCCCCAAATGGCCACAAACATCAGAGCTGGGTCAATCTGAAGCCAGGAGCCAGGATCTTCTTCAGGTCTCCCACATGAGTGCAAGGGCCCAAGGACTTGGACCATCCTCCACTGCTTTCCAAGGCCATAGCAGAGAGCTGGATCAGAAGTAGAGCAACCGGGACTTGAACTTGCTCCCACTTAGAATGCTGGCACTGTAGGCAATGGCCTTACCCACCATGCCACAGCACAACCCCAAATGCTTTTTTTTAGGGGTGGGGTTAGTAGGATTATCATATGGTTTTTGTCCTTTAAATATACTGTATCATATTTATTTATTTGTGTATGTTGAACCATCCTTGCATGCCAGGAATAAATTTCACTTGACCATGGTGAACAGGAGAGTGAGCCCAGATTCAATGCCACTGAATTCAGTTTGCTAATAATTTGTTTAGCTTGCTTGCACCTGTGTCAATCAGGATGGTTAGCCTATAGCATTCTCTTCTTGTAGTGACCTCGTCTGGCATAAAATGAGTTTGGTTCTACTTCAGTTATTTGGAAGCGTTACTCAAACCTGGGCACTTTGATATGGGTGTGCCAAGTGGTGTCCTAACCATTATATCAAATGCCCACTCCTTTTATTTTGTTTGTTTTGCTATAACCATTTATTACTATAAATTTCCCTCTTAGAACTGCTTTTGCTGCATCCTATTAGTGTCAGAATAATGTGCTTCTATCTTTGTTTGTCTCAAGATATTTTTTAAATTTCCCTTTAATTTTTTTCTTAGACCCACTGGTTTTTAGGAGCATAATATTTAATTTTCACATATTTGTGCAAACTTATTTGAAATTCCACTTGTTACGTATTTCTGGGTTCATTCCATTATGTCCAGAAATGATACTTGACATGATTTCAGTGATTTTCAATTTTCTAGGACTTGTTTTATGGCCTGACCAGTCCTGGAGAGCGTCCCAATGTACACTTGGAGCATGGGGCTTCTGCTGCTGTTGCATGAAATGTTCTGTCTGTGGCAGCTCCATTCTGTCTAAGATGCTGTTCAGTTCTGTTTCCCAGTGGATTTTCTGTCTGTCTGTTCTGTACGTTTTGAAAAAGTAGAGTGTGGAACTCTGTTAATATTACTCTATTACAGCGTATCTTACTTTTCCAATCTATTAATATGCACTCATGCTGAGTGCACATATGAGCGTATTTCAAAAGGTTTGTGGAAAGTGGAATTAAAATAAGTATGTGTTAGTTTAAATCTATGAATAAGTTTTAAAAAATATGGCATCTTTGACCTTTGTGAAGACTCATATTGTTGAAATCGAATCTTTTTTTAAAAATTATGACTTTAGATTTTTCTCCAAGTTCTAAGTACTTAATGTGTATTTATTTATCCATTGATCATCCACTTGTACCAGACACCAGATGTGGGACCATTTGGACCCAGATATACAAACACTTGTTCTCAAGGGCCTTGCACTTGAGTAGGGAGAACCCCTGAAGATTCCAAAGAGTTTAAGAAGAGACAGAGCCTCACAGATTGGGGAACATGGATGACAGCGAGGGCCATATAAGCCAATGGCCCTTACACTGAGCCTTGCAGGCAGAGCTGGCACTCGGCAACCTGTGGTCATCAGCAAATGCATGTGGAGGCGATGGAGGCTCTATTAGAAGCATATTGGAATGCCAGGAAACACCTGACATTCACAAGTAATTGTAAGAGTTTAGGTTTCTTGGCATATAGAGTCTGTGTATGGGAATAGGGAGAAATAAGGCTGAGGGGGAGGTACAAGCACAGCATATTTGGTCTTAAATCCCAAGATTACAGTGTTGACACCTCTTTGGACATGAGAGATAAGAAAGGGAGAAGAGACAAACCGTTCAGAGGAAATTACAGCAATTATGACAGCATGGTTATTATTATTAGACAGAGCAACTTAGGAAAAGAAAGGGCTGTAGCCTGAAGGACACACACACTGGAGTGTGTGTTGTGAGGGACAACAGGTGGGAAGTGGATCAGAGCTCTGCACAGGGGTCAGCCTGGAGCTGTAGGGGGTGGGGTCCTTGTGTCTTGAGCATCTGTGAGCTAAGGGCAGAAGCTGAGCAAGCTGGGAATAGAGCTTCGGAGGGGGCTGCCCTTGGTGAGCACAAGGAGCCACAACGAGGGCAGACCAGGAGTGGTCCGAGACGTTTCGGGAACAGGACCACGCAATGTGCAAAACACGAGTGGGCAGTGTTCACAGAACAGTCGGGTGGATTAGTGACCTAGATGAAGGAGAACGAGGCTTAGAGCCTGCGTGGTGACTTTCTGAGGTTTCCGCGTCACGGTGGTCAGACGTGCTGGCCAGACTGCCTGGTAGTAAAGGGGGCCTTGCTGGTCCATGACTGTGGAGCTCAGTAGGAAACTGAAAGGAAAGACGACAAAGCGTGAGGGCCCAGCGCATGCGTGCGCATGGACATGCATGCACACACAGGTGTGCACACACACGCACACACACACAACCTTGGAATGATGAATAGCTGGGGACAAGACGAGAGTTATGAAAGAATACGCTTATTTCCTAAAACTGCACTCCAGTGCACAAATATTTTCTTTCTGCCTGCAAAGAGATGCACAGACTTTTTGCAGAAGACATTAAATGCAGCTGCTTATATTGATCTGTTTTCTTTGTGGAAAAATGTTAATGTGGATAAATATTTACTGCCATTAATTCACTCATTTGGCAAAAGTCTATCGAATGCCTGTTCCAGGTATTACGCTGCAGACCCAAGAATCCAGCAATAAACAGCACCGACAGGGTCCCGCCCAGGTGGCGGGCACAGTCCACCTATTGAGCTGCTGTAGAAAATTATTGGCCTTTCTCGTAGGTTCAGTTGCAAACTCTTCTTCAAAGCAAGTATGTGGAATATTTCACGGAGCAAGTCTTAAGCTGGCAAAATAAATTAAACATAGCAGACTCAGTCATCTTTATGTGGATGGAAGTCCAGAGAACCTGGTCTCACCTGGAAAGCATTTTCGTGTGTTCAGAAGACATTCGAATCCAGCTCGTGACAGATGCCAGAAGATTCGATGGAGTAGACGCTGAATTTAAGGTTGGTCAAGGACTGGCTCCGTTTTATCATGGTAGGGTTTCTGGAACAGTCTGAAAGTTGTATGAAAATTCATGATTTTGGGTGCTATGTTTATAAAAATGGAATTTTATTTTTTTAATTTCAGCAAATAGAAGTCAAGAATCTTTTTTCTGTAAAGAACCAGGTAGTAAATATTTAAGTTGGGCAGCCCCTTGGACAGGTACTCTGTGCTGCCATAGTACCGTGAAAGAAAACAGTACTTAAATAAATGGGTGTGGCTACATAGCAATAAATATTTATAGATACTGAAATTTTCATTTCATATCATTTTTATATGTCACAAAATGTTGTGCTGCTTTTAATTTTTTTCAACCATGTAAATATGTGACAACTGTACTGAGTGATACAAGAACAAGCCCTGGCCCATGTCTACCCCATGGGCCATCAGTTGCCAACTCCTGTAGTAAGAAAGGTATAGAAGTTTATCTTCATAAGGAGAAGGCTGGAAAGGGTACAAGCAATACTGCCAGTCTGTTTTTCCCTTTTCCATGAGAGTGCATGGAAAATGCACACAAAAAGGATAAATGATTTGAGAGACAGCCAAACGTAGTGGCTGAACCTTTTTTTATAGAAGTGAGGATTACAGTTTTTATTCTTTAGGGACAGGCATTTGGAACAGTGGATGAGGCATCACTTGGGACAGCCACATCCCAAGTTGGAGTGCTTGAGTTTGTGTCTCCTGCTTCCAGCGTCCTGCCAATGCAGGCCCTGGCAGGCAGTGCTGACGGCTCAAGTGGGTGGGTCCTTGCCACCCATGTGGGAGACCTGGCTGGAGTTTCAGGCTCCTGACTTCAGCCTGGTCTAGCCCTGCATGTTGTGGGACTTTGGGGAGTGTACCAGCAGATGGAAGACCTCTCTTCTCTGTCTCTCTGCCTTTCGAATAAGCAAAGATACATAAAATATTTACAAGATTTTCTCCTTTCTACCTAAAGCAGAACTCCTAGAAGTATTCTAATGTGTGTATCTTTTTGATGAAGGAAGAAGAGAGAGATTGTTTGTTGCTAATCTACACTTAGAGGTTCTAGGATCTTTCGCTCTCGCTCTCTCATTCTCTCTCTCAGTTTAGAATTTGGTGTGCACCCACGGTGATAGTAATACCTGTCCCATCTATTTCAGTAGAAACTGTGCTTTGAGTTGTTTTTGATCTTCTGTAAATGTAAAAGCAAAAAGGGGCACAAGTGTTGGGCATTTCTGGAAGTCTCCCTTGCCTTTTTTCTTTACTTTGTAATGGCCAAGCAGGTGAATATTTAGAGAATTCTAGTATTTACAGCTCCATGTTATCCTTTCATACAGGAGTTAATGTTCAAGACAGCCAGCATAAAAAATGTCTTAGAAGCAACATGCAGACCCAATCTCTATGAAAAGCTCAAAGATTTGCAGTACAGGTAAGGCTACACCTATGTAATGTGATCAATTTGCTGTAATTTCATAAGATTTCTTTCGCTTACCTAGTAGTATTCAGTGCTGTGTTATTGTAGGTGTAACTTTACCCAGTCATTTTATAATTTTGTTGATAACTATCTAGTTGTGCTTGTCAGGTGGTACATGTCTATTGTGAGTTAATATAAGTAAACCCAAATATTTTTTATGTGTTTTGTAAGGATTACTAGAGTAATAAAATTAGAAAATGCTGTTATCAGAAAATTGTCATGATTGACCAGTTCTCATCAAACCATCCTGCAAATACTGGCTGTATACAGTCATTTTAAGCCCATTAGTTTGTGGGTACCTTTACTATTTATGGGGAGTTACTCTTCGAGAGCATATTAGCCCATGAAACCTTGTCCCAAGAGCCATTTTTAAAGTGATTTTCGTATTTAATCTCTCATGAGTTGTCATAAAAGTGGGCTGGCAGATCAGCTACTAAAATGAAAGGTTGAGGTGGAATTATGATGGCTTTTTATTGCAAGGTTGGACGATACAGATTAAAGTATCTATGACATAAGCAAAACCATTTCATAATCTGGGTATTTGAGGGCCTGCAAGGGTACATTTCTAGGGAAGTTAATTCTGTTGGGGAGCCAGCGATCCCTGGGGCTCTGCCTCTAGTTCATCTCTGCTCCATCAAGGACAATCAAGTGGAACTGAATCTGGATCTTGGATTCCTCTGAGCGGGAGAGCCTCTTGTGTTCTGTATGTTTTCAGTGTGACTCTAAGCCAGTGATGTCACACCTGTGCATTTAGCACAGAGGCAGGGCGATGCCAAACCCAGTCTGCTCTTCTACTGATTAGAAGTGTCATTAAGGAAAGTGATGAGTGACATACACCAAAGCCTGGACTATATTTAACCTCAACGAATGGGGTGTGTTTGCATCTCCCACTTGGCATGACTTGGATACTTCCAAAAGTTCACAGAAGAATAAAATTAAGAGATAAGTCTGTTAGTTCAGAGAACTTGGAAATCCATGCCTATGAGAGCATCTTCAAAAAGCTCATGGAAAATCATATCATGGAAAGCACGATGCATGGATTCTAGCTGCTTTTGCACCAAAATAAGCATGTCTTTTCACACTGCCTTTCTATGAATTTTTGCAGTCCTCTTGGGTTAGCTGAAGGCAAGATGGTGACATCGAAAGAGGAGGTGGCTACCTGTTAATCAGGGAGTTTATTGTGATGGATGGGACACGTGGCAGGTGCTGGCTTGGTTTTGTTGAAGTTTTAATGACCAAATGGGCAAAAGAGGCTTAAAAAGATTTTTCATTCCTACAGGCTTTCTCTTTGTGAAAAAGCTCTCGCTGAATACCTGGAAACGAAGCGTATGGCTTTTCCTCGCTTCTACTTCATCTCTTCCGCCGATTTACTTGACATTCTTTCAAAGGGAGCTCAGCCTAAACAGGTAAAAAAAAAAAAAAAAAGATTTCAGAAGTCTCGGATTATACTGTGTGAGCTAAGGAATGTCCCAGTTTCTCTCTCATTGTCAGATGCCATCTGTTACCTTCTGTGTGCCAGGAACTAGAAAATCTGCAGTTACAATTCTTGCTGCAGCCACACGGGGATGTCAGGGAGGCTGTGTACCAGGAAGGGGGATGAGTAACACCCTGGGCTCCGGGAAGCGGGGAGGATGTGCTACCTGTAAGGCTCGAGGTCCTAAAAGATGCCACCGAGGAAAAAAAAAAATACTGGCTCTAAATTTCCCATAGTTCCAGAGCAAGGGCTGGGACATCCCCTGCCCGTAGCTTTCTTGGGGAGAACGGGTCACTTGGTAGAATGGGATCCTGGCTGGCGCCTCCCTTCTTCTCCCTCGGTTCCAGAGTAGCCGTCACAGTTGCCGCATGGGACTGCTCGTCAGGGCTCTTAGAGTTGGGTTTGTATCATTTCAGACTTGATCCTCAAACCTGCCAGCTGTCTCCCACTTGTCCAAAAATCGACACCCCCTCGCCTGCTGATTGCCGTGTCAACCTTTAAAGGAAATACAAGCAGGTTTTTGTCTTTTGTCACCCGAAGGCTCAGATCAGAGGCAGACTTTGTCCACATCCCACATCAGTGGTTCCTACATACTTCGAGAGGATGTTGGCTTCGCTCCGCGCTGCTCAGCTGCTCCCCCTCGTTTATCTATCATAGTTGTTGGGTGCAGGCGGTTGCTTCCAGCGTTGACTGCGATCATAGATGATCTGGAAACTGAAGCTTGGGCATGATCCCTGTGGTGTCTCCTCTGTGTTCCTCTTCTTGGAGAGCTCCCCTTTCTCTGGCTGTGTTCATGCTGTTTTCTTTGGGATGAGTCTCTTCATGCTGTGGTTTCCTGAATTTTGCTGTTCTTTGGATACAGCATTTATCTTGATGATCTTTCTCTCATTCATCTTTGAATTTTTTTTTTGTTTGAGATACAGAATTACACACAGAGAAAGGGAGAGACAGAGAGGGAGGTCTTCTATCCGCTGGGTCACTCCCTAGATGGCCACAATGGCAGGAGCTGCACCAATCCGAAGCCTGGAGCTAGGAGCTTCTTCTGGGTCTCCCACGCAGGTGCAGGGGCCCAAGAACTTGGGCCATCTTCCACTGTTTTCCCAGGCCAGAGCAGAGAGCTGGATTGGAAATGGAGCAGCCAGGACTCAAACCAGTGCCCCATGGGATGCTGGTGCTGCAGACAGAGGCCTAGCCTGATAGACCACAGCGCCAGCCCCTCTTGTTCATCTTTTAGCCTTTGGCCTACATTCAGTTGGGTGGCTATTCCTGTCATTGATAACACAAGTGCAGGCTGGTTATTAATAACAGAAGAGGTGGCCAACTTTGGCAACCTGAGGGTCACAGCCCAGAGACCATGTTAAACGTTCATCATAACTTATGGATGACTTTGAAATAAAACCCTTCTGATTGTAGACCAAGAATCCCCTAGACCCCTATACCCGTCTCTTACATATTTGGGTAACACATGACTGAGTACTTTCAAAAGTGAAGAATTTCAGACCCAGGAGTCCACATCCACTCCAGTAATGCGATGGGGATGTCATTGGTACCAGCATCTGGCCCCTCCACCTCTGGTGACCCTGTGAGGTACAGGGTGTGTCCCTAACCCAAGTGCTCATTCCTGGTGACCTGTCAGATCCAAATTTCACAGTGCAAGATGAGTTTTTCAAGTCTGAGTTAAAAGAGAGACGCATACGTGTGTAATGATGATGCCCTTCTGTTTCTGAGCCATATCCTATAACCATAATAAACACAGTACTAATCGTATGAAACAACCACAGTGAAACTGTTGGATTTTTCTCCATTTGTTAATTCCCTTCTGCCCTGCTCGATGTCCTTACCCTGAGTAGGGGGCTCCTTTAGACATCTTGGATAGGTGTGGTCATTTTCTTTTCTTAGTAGAGGATAAATCTCTCACTCTGTGTCTCCCTCTCTCTATAACTCTGCTTTTTAAATAAATAAATTTTTAAAAAGATAAATGAGCAAAATACCAACCTCAGCAAGGTCCAGCTGGAAATTCCGGCCCAGCTTCATGTCCAGGCCATGATCTCACATCAGAACTTGGAGTCCAGAGGAAGGCGTTGATTCTTTCATTCCCCTCCCACCTTGTTTATCAAGGGGAGAGGCTCAAGGATGGGACCTTTCTGTGGCTGCCCTGTCTTATGCTTGCTCCTGCTCCTTGGACCAGCATTGACAGTCAATTTTTGTCACCCTCTATGGCCAGGGTACACACATTGGTCTCACGGGGGACACACTTGTAAGTCCTCAGGAACCCAGGGGACCTCTCCGGGGATGGATGCAACAGAGCCAAGTTGACCTTATCTCTTCCAGTTCTTGACCTTGGCAGTAACCAATTTCCTGGTTGCATCTTGTTCCTCCTTGTCCGCCTATGCGGCTATGCAAACCAGGGACACATCGACTGTTCACTTCCTGCAGGCACCTGTGGTTTCTCTGAGTTGCCAGCGTGGGGCAGAGGGCATTTCTTCCGATTTCCTTCAAGGAATGAGGAAAATAGGGCAGCTTTCCCTACAATGCTTTGGGCTGAGAACTCACAGCTATGCGGGTGCCCTCCTATCCTCTCTCTGTAGTACTTTCTAGAGAAGGTCTCTTACCAGACCTGTTGGAATGAACCCCTCCCCACCCATGCCTACTCTCTTTACAAGGTGCATATCCTAGTGCCTCTTTGTCCTTATTTTTCTTCTATTTTCTTTTAAAGATTTACTTTTCATTTATTTGAAAGGCAGAGTTACAGAGAGACAGGAGGAGCCAGAGAGAGAGGTTTCTTTCCACTGGCACATTCCCCAGATGGCCGCAGTGGCTGAGGCTGGACCGGACTGATGCCACGAGTTTCTTCCAGGTCTCCCTTGTGGGTGGTGGCAGCCCAAGCATGCGAGCCATCTTCTGTTGCTTTCCCAGGCCATAGCAGGGAGCTGGATCAGAAGTGGAGCAGCTGGGACACAAACTGGCACCCACATGGGATGCCAGCATTGAAGACAGCAGCCTTACCTGCTATGCCACAGTGCTGGTGCTAGAGGGACGCATCCCTCAGTGTGTTCCTGTTACCAGTTCTCCGCCCCCTCCTTTCAGATCTTCAGAAAATGCCTCATGCCTTAGCCAAACGCCGTGTTGATGCACAGTGGATGCATCTCTGATGCTAGCTCTTTTTCAGATTTCCAGGGTGTGCCCTTTAAAGCTTTGTTTTTTTTTTTTTTTTAATTTTCACAGCATGATTGCCGTATTTGACAAAACAGTGTCTTGTTTATTATCCACGTAGCTTGCCATGGTCATCCCCTCGCCTATCTCATTTAGAGTGTTGTCATCATGAAATCTAACTCCTTGAATTTAAGGTACCTTACTCAGTACTAGTGTTGGTACCGCTGCTTAATGAACAGCTAGATAATATGTCAAAAAGATAGTAAATTGTGATGAGGCCGAGAGTCGGAATCAGCCTCGAGAGCTCCAGAATCACTTGCAGCTTTGCTCATGAATGCCAGCAGCAGTTGGTTTGCATCATGCTAACAGAAGAGGCGAATGTTTCTGCAAGCTAGAGGGATCCAGCCTTGTGAGTGTATTGTGGACACGGGGCTCAGTTCTCTTGTTTTAAAGATTTATTTATATATTTGAAAGTAAGAATTACATAGAGGAGAGGCAGAGAGAGAGAGAGAGAGAGAGAGAGAGAGAGAGGTCTTCCATCCAATGGTTCACTCCCCAGTTGGCCGCAACGGCCAGAGCTGTGCCGCTCTGAAGCCAGAAGCCAGGAGCTTCTTCCTGGTCGTTCATGTGGGTGCAGGGGCCCAAGGACTTGGGCCATCTTCTACTGCTTTCTCAGGCCATAGCAGAGAGCTGGATCAGAAGAGGAGCAGCTGGGACTAGAACCAGCGCCCATATGGGATGCTGGCACTTCAGGCCAGGGCATTAACCCGCTGCGCTACAGTGCCGGCCCCAGGGGCTCAGTTCTCTTGTCCTGCTGGCTGTTAAGGGATTTGATTACTGATACATTTTGAAATTTTGACAAGATCCGTTATTTTGACCTGTGCTCAACATGTGGTTTGTTTGAGATCTTCCCGTGACCCTACTTAAAATCTCAATGATTAAAATTTGCGTCTCCTGCTATCACACTGTTCCTAAAGGTTCATCATTAGACAAAGTTGCCAGTACCTATCCAAGAGTGACTCACTGGGGCAGGGGACTTAGAAGTCAAGGGCGTTGGTGTCATCTCCAGCTGTCGCCTCTGCCCTGGAAGACACAGCTGTGCTGAGTCGCTGTGAGTGTTGAATTCTTGGTCACTGACCGGGAGTAGTTGGTGCTTCGAGCAGGCAGGGCAGATGGCAGTGACCCTGCTGCACCCTCTCCCCCTCTTTGCACTGGCAGAGTCAGACCACCAGACAGGGCTCCTCCACGCACGCCTCTTGGGCTAAGGTTCCTGAAAGCACTCCCTGGAGTGTGACCGAGAGAACATGGCAACCGCCACTCGCGAATGAACAATGCGGCTTCCCCATTGAAGGCGCGCTCTGTGGGCAGATAATTCAGCTTGACATCTTGTGAATGACTGGAATTCTTCAGGCCCCCTCCTCTCCCTGCCCGCGCTGGCATTGGCGCTCCCTGTAGGGGTGTTGCCCCGCGTGAGAGTTCCTGCAGTGAGCCATGGCATTTGATGGCCTGAACGCACCAGCCAGGGAGGTCCTATCCAACCACTGTCCCCATTCGGGGAGCACAGTTGCCCCATTTTACATGCTAGAGTTGGGATGTCAGAGTGATGAACTGGATGGGTCTCAAACGCCTTTGGTGATGCTGAGCTGTAGATAAGCTTGGCTAAGGTCAGCTGTTGAAGGTTTTCTCCCCCTGAAATTCAGCCTCACCTTCCAAGGGCACGGATTATTTTAAGGACTGTGCTGCTTAACTTGAGTGGTGAAACTCTCTGATA